GGCGGGCGTGGATCACGAAGTCAGGAGATCGAGACCATCCTGGCTAACACCGTGAAACCCTGTCATTTACTAAAAATACAAAAAAATTAGCAAAGCGTGGTTGGCGGTGCGCGGGGCCAGCCCCCTGTAGTCCCAGCTACTCAGGGAGGCTGAGGCTATGAGAATACGGCCTTGACCTGGGAGGTTGGATTGCAGTGAGCCGAGATTGCCGCCACCCACTCCCAGGCTGGCGACAGAGCCAAGGACTCATCTCAAAAAAACCAAAAACAAACAACAAAAAAACACTGGGACACGATGGGCTGGCCCGGGTGGCTCGATGCCTGGCCCAAACATGGTTGAAATCCGCGTTCTCTACTAAAAATACAAAAATTAGCTGGTGTGGTGGTGGGTGCTTGTAATCCCCAGCTACTCGGGAGGCTGATGGCAGGAGAAAACTGCTTAACTCCAGGAGCGGAGGGCTGCAGTGAGCTCAAGATCGCGCCACTACACTACAGCCGCGTGACAGAGTGAGACTCTGTCCTCAAAAAAAAAAAAAAAAAAAAGAGCAAAGACAAAGATGTTTGTGAAGATCCACCTCCTTCCACCAGAAGTGGCATGGTCAAGACCAAGCATCAGGCAGTGGAAACTCTCAGAGGCTCTGGGTCTGAAGTCACCTCCTCTGGGGTCGTGCAGGGCGGGGTGGGGCTCCCACAGGTGTGCAAACAGGGACGGCCACCTGTTGCACACATGCCTAACCTAGGGGCTCTAGAAGAGGAGCAGATGGGGCAGGGTTGGTAGGGCGTGGCTCGTCCCTGTGTCAAGAGCGCTCATGACTTCTATGCTGGCAGGACTGGAAGGCCCCTCTGGGAACCATCTGTGATGGGGAAAGTTCCAATGTCAAGGAGAAAAGTGAAAGCAAGATACTAGTTGATATTCAAAAGGCATTTCACTGCCCTTGTCCCCTTAAAAGGACTTTCTTCAAATTAGAACTCACCCCTAACTTGCCCTGCAAGATCCCCCAAATCTCTCAAACATCAGTTATTTCCCAGAAGATCAAGTTCTTTCAGTGGACACTGCAGAGCGGGGGAACGCTTTCTCAACACAGCCTCAGGTGAGTCGGTTAGTCTGGGTGCATTTTATCCTCTGGGAAATGGAAAGGGTTGGGTGGTCATGGGCAACCCAGAAGAGGGAGGGAGGGTGGGAGAGAGAGAAACGAACCTGCCCTGCCCAAGCAAAAGCAGCATGTGAGTGGTGTCGGGGTCCCCTGGGACCAGAGCTCCCCCTACCACCAACGGAGGGGATCAAATTCCCTACTACAAAAGACCCTCTTTAAAGGCTGGGGCCAGCCTGGATTCTCAGTGCTGGTATTCACCTGCAGGGACGGGGAGAAGAAGCGCCTCATTCATTCTCAACAGCCTGCCCCCCCAGGCCTGGGAAACACCAAGAGGCACAGTCCTCAGCCTCCCCACCCCAGGCTCAGCCTGGCCCCCTGCTGTCTCTGGTCACTCTGCCTCCCCCACACCAGGCTCAGCCTGGCCCTCTGCTGTCTCTGGTCGCTCTGCCTCCCTCTCGGCAGGCTCAGCCTGGCCCCCTGCTGTCTCTGGCAGCTCTGACTCCCTCTCGGCAGGCTCAGCCTGGCCCCCTGCTGTCTCTTGCCACAGCAGTCCCAACACTGCCTGTTGGGGTCGTTACCCCAGCCTGTACCTGGGAAGGTGACCCAGGAGGTTGCCTGCTTTGTGGGCTGAGGGAGCCTGAAAGACCCAAGGCTGTCTCTAGTGTTTTTCCTTTGCCTGTTGAAGTGTCCCTGACTCATTTATGTGGCCTACTTCCCATGACAGTTTAGGCAGCTTAGACAGGTTACACAGCACCGGGAGGACGATCCCGCTTGGCTCCGGTTTCCAAGCTCTCTGCTGGGGGCTGGGCAGGTGGGACCACGGCCAGCCGGTCAGTCCCTTGATCTACTCAGTGGCTCAGCTTAGAAGAGCTGATTAACTACAAGGCTGTCGGTGCCACTCAGAGTGCTGGGCAGGGGGTGGATTCTGCATGAGCCCTTGGATGTGTGTCTCTACGTAACTTCTGGTTAACACAGCGATCTTTATTTGTCTTTCTCTCAATGACTACAAACTCCTTTCTGGACAAGAAGTTACAGAAAAAGATAGATCAACTCAACATAAGGATAAGCATAGGTTACATGAATATGCTCTGGACTAACTTGTGAGGTAGTGAGCTCCCCAACTCTAGACAGTATTCAAGCAAAGCCTGGACAAGGTATTTTTGGAAATGTTTCAGAGGGGCTTGCGCATCTGGCTACTGCATGGGCGGCTAAAAGACCCAATATCTCCCCAAACACAAAGATTTAATGATGTTGGTTGTGCCATTGTACTCATATTCTGTAAACTTCATAGCCTCTAGGACCCAGTGAAATTCTTTGAAAAGGAAATAGAAGCAGTGAGACCATGTAAATAGGAAAAAAAAAAAAAAGACCCAAAAATGAGTTTATGAAGGGTGGAAATGAAAATTTCTAGAAAATGCTTCCGAAGCAAAAATTCTTGAAGCAGAAATGATTTCAGCTTCCAAACTTGTACATAGAGCTGAAAACCGATACATCCTCCACTTCTGGGACGGTGGAAGGGACAGATATTCTGTTTGGGTGTCTGTAACAAGCATTCTAAGACCGGTGCCATCACATCAGGATGTTGCGGTGCCTAGGATGGTGGGATCCCCACACCCTTATGGAGTGCTTAGTGTCTTTTCATAGGTGTGGAAGGATGAGGTTGCCTCTGAAGTTTACTGATCTCAGTTGAATCTGGAATGATGTTTAAAATCTCCAGGTCAAAAAGGAGGTTCAACCTTCCTAAGGACCCTCGAGCTGGGCTGGGTACATCTAGAAATTCTTCCAAACCCTGAGCTCCACTCAGGTCACAGACACTTCTCAAACTTGGTGTTGTCCTTCCTGGCTGTGCCTCCCTGGGAAGGAGGGGCCCGCAGCAGCAGAGCCCACGTGATGTAGGGAAATCAGTCAGAGCGCCTGATTCGAGAAACCAGCTCAGCTCACACACCAACCTATGAAAATTCTTTATTGTTAATTTCTTTCTCCAACAGATATATTTTTAGTTGAAATATGAAGCCACAGCAACACTTTGACTTTTCCTCTTCAGAAGATGAGACAGGCCGGGGTCGTCGTCGTTACAAAAGCAAGGCCTGTGATCGTGACAAGGACAGCCTGGGGCAGAGACCACACACTCAACCAGGTATCCACCAGGTGTGGGCCCTTTATAGGAGCTACAGGTACAAAAAGGGGGCAGCCAGCAGTGTGGCCTTGACACCTGACTCCAGGCACGACGACCTGGAGGAGGGAGATGAAAGAACTCACCTTTCCCCAGGGCCTCAGTCAGACCTCCAGGCCACTGAGCTGGGAGAGCGCGTGTGTGTGCACGTGTATATCTGAGTGAGAACACAGCTGTGCTCACTCGCACAGCACATGCACACATGCGCTGCCCCTCCTGAGAAGATGCTCTCAGGTCCCTGCCAGGGTAGGGTTGTAGCTGTGTTCCCCACAGCTGACTGTCAGCTAACCAGGGCTAAGGGTGAGTGCATGGTGGAGGACACAGGGTCTTAGCCTGAAGCTCGATCTGGGACAGGCTGATGGTGCCAGAGCACAGCGTGAACCACCCACTGACCATGGGGCTCTCCAGGGCTCAGTCATTTGGTTCCTGTGCACTTCATGACACTCAGGAGCCCCTATGGCCCGAGCCCCAAGCCCCAAGAAAGGGGAAAGATTTGGTTCTGAGACGGTGCCCCTGGCTCTGGGCACCTAGGGGCCTCAGCATCTACCAGCGTAGGGGAGGGTGGCGGCCCCCTTCCTGAGGACTGCATCTTTCTCCAACCCCTCTCCCCAGATCCCACACCTGCCAATGATCCAGGGAGCTAGGAGGACCACCCCCCTCCCAGGGAAGGCGGTGGCAGGTGGGAGGACTTAGGGTTCCTGCAGGAACACTAGACCTGCCCCTCACCCCCCACCTCCAGGACTGCCATTCTGAACTGAGTTTGCCAATTCTGGGCCTGAGTTTGGCCTAAGGGTCGGTCGAAGGGACTTGCTTGGTGAAGGCCCAGCCAGATGTCCCAGTGGCACTTCATAAACAAATGACACTGTCCCTTCCAGGCTGACGTGGAGAGGGACCCTTCCAAAGGCAGTGGAGTGGAGGGCATGGGCCTCCAATGAGAGAACTCCAGTGCTGGCCAAGACGTACTGCGCTGGCAGCAGACAGGTGGGAGCCTGGCTGGGGTAGGTCAGGGGTTGGTGTTTAGAGCTGGAGGTCTCCTGGGCCTTGTGAGCCAAGCTGGGGCTTTTACATGGGTTCTGGGCTCCCAAGCAGAGACCTCTGCTAGATGACCTCCAGAGCCTTTTGGGGTCTCACACTGGGAGAAGCTCCTCCCCTTTCCAAGAGAACCCCCAGAATGAGGCCTCAGGAAGTGGTACACAGAGGGATGGCCAAGAGGGCAGAGCTGGGTAGTGCGCCTCTGCTGGGCCCGGCCTGGCTGGCGGGGCCTGGACGGTGCTCCGCAATCCCTTTCTCACCAAGGGACGCTGGCTGGTTGCCAGCTCATGCAGGCAATGCACGTAAACCCCGACTAACGGTTACCTCTAGGCTTTGGGCTGTTGGGTTCAAGACGACACAAAGCTCCTCGGGGGCCCAACTTTCCAGCTGCCCAGGGTCCTTGGGATCACCTTGCTGGTGGAGGCAGGTGCACTCATTAAAGCAAATGTACTCTCCAGGTGGACCCTCAGGCCCAGAGCCGGCAGCAGAGGGGGGTGAATCCATGGCAACAGGAGTCACGGGTGAACCAATGGGAAACCAAATACACGCACCGAAAGCCAATCAAACACAAACCCCAAATGTGAAGGCAGCAGCAAGTTCTTTGTGTAATAAATATTGCAAAGCGCACTTGGTTTCTTTTCAAGTCAAATATAACGACTAATGTCCCAGACCCTGTTTTCTGCATTCAAAATAGGGAAGCCGTTGATATCAGCAGAACACCTGCAGCCAATCAAAGAAAAAACCGTTTCCCATTAACCAGCCAATCACAGTCCCTTTCCAGTTTAAGCAGCCAATCAGACCTCTTCACATTTCTAGAAAATAACCTAACTAAAGCACCAGAGCTCGGAGAGCTTCCAGGGAAGCCAGATACCGAGGCGCAAATTTTTTAAAAAATAAGAGTCAGAAATAAAAATAAAAGGTTTCTGTTGGTCAAGATTTAAAAAATAAAAAAGTTTCTTCCTGCAGCCAATCACAAGTCCATCCCTTTAAGCCAATCATAAACGCATCACTGGTGTCTCCCTTGATGCCAGCCCCACTGAGTAGCTGTGAGGTGGGATGGGGCAGGGCAGGGTTGGGTAGGGGAAGTGGGAGGTGGGGCAAGGGGGTCTGCTGCCACTCAGCCGGCCCAGGAGCCACACAGATCTCTTGGCCCTCAACAGCATCCAGGGTATTCCAAGGGCTTTGCAGCTACTGCCTTCGGTCTTCTGTCTCCGACCTGGAAAACGCCATCACCACGTCCTCTGCACCTGCAGATAAGGGGACAAGGATCGCTGATGGGGCTTCCAGCATTGGCTTATGAGCAGGACAAGCAAGGAGGCTGTGGCCAAGCTGGAGCTCCCGTCCACCAGGATCGCGGCACTTTCCGACGACAAAGTGCGTCCGAGGAAGTCTTCCTCCCCTCTGGGCTTCCCTGAAGCCTGGCTGGGGACGAGGCCTGCAACCCTGCTGTAGGGCTACAAGGCAGGGCTGCCAGGGTGAGACTCAGAGGCTTGCTCAAGGCTACACAGCTGACAGGTGAGCCATGATGAGGCCCCAGGTGACCTGGAGCAGGGCTCAGCTCTGCTCACAGCCCTTGCTCCTGAGTTACCAAAGCTGGAGGCGGGGTGGCCCCTGGGAACCTCCCTCTTTCTTCTCAAGACTCACGTCTTGATGCCTTCAGAGGGTCTGGCTCACTGTAGTTTTAAATAGCCATTCCTCTTTGCAGCAGCTTCGCCTTCACCCAAACCCAACACTTCTTCCAGGGAGCATGGTCGGGCCCATGTCCAGCCTTCTGTCCACCTGGCTCTGACTGAGACAGATATGCCCACAATCCTTCTTTTTCTTTTTCTTTTTTTTTTGAAATGGAGTCTCGCTCTGTCGCCCAGGCTGGAGTACAGTGGCGTAATCTCGGCTCACTGCAACCTCTGCCTCCCGGGTTCAAGCGATTCTCCTGCCTCAGCCTCCTGAGCAGCTGGGATTACAGGCACGGGCCACCACACCTGGCTAATTTTTTTGTATTTTTAGTAGAGACAGGGTTTCACCATGTTGGTCAGGCTGTTCTCAAAACTCCTGACCTATGATCCACCCACCTTGGCCTCCCAAAGTGCTGGGATTATAGGCGTGAGTCACTGTGCCCTGACAATCTTTCTTTTTCTTCCTTTCTTTTCTTTTCTTTCTTTTTCTTCCTTTCTTTTCTTTTCTTTCTTTTTCTTCCTTTCTTTTCTTTTTTTTTTTTTTTTTTTTTTGAGACGGAGTCTTGCTCTGTCGCCCAGGCTGGAGTGCAGTGGTGGCTCACTGCAAGCTCTGCCTCCCAGGTTCACGCCATTCTCCTGCCTCAGCCTCTCGAGTAGCTGGGACTACATTTTTTTTTGTAGTTTTAGTAGAGACGGGGTTTCACCGTGTTAGCCAGGATCTCATGACCTCATGATCCACCCACCTCGGCCTCCCAAAGTGCAGGGATTACAGGCGTGAGCCACCACGCCCGGCCATCTTTCTTTTTCTTAATCCTGAATTTGAGATTCTGGCCCAGGCACTTGTGAAATCACTTCTTTTGTTTTGTTTTCCAGAGGACAGGTTCTGATGAGCGGCCAGGATAGGCAGTGGCAGGAGGGCAAAGCTCGAAATGCTGACCCGCTGCCGACACCCACAACTGCCTGGGGAGGAAGGGGCTGATATGGCTGGGGAGGGGCTGTGGGCCAGAAGGTGACCTGCAGGGTCCCACCCTGACTCCCTGATCTGGTCCTGCTACTCTCGCCCCCTCTGTAAAAGGGCAGATCTTCACTTTGCCCCAAAAAGTACCAGTCTGGCTGCCTGTTGTCTTTCTGACATCTTGTCTGTACTACTGCAGGCATTCTCGCTGGGAGGGGGTGGATCGGAACAGGAGAGACAGGAAAGGCCACCCGAGGGTGGGCCAGTGTGGGGGGTGTGAAGTGAGGCTCCTGGCGTGTGAAATGGAGTGGCAGAGTGAGCTGGCCCCCACTCAGTGAGCCAGGTCTCCCCCACAGCCGGCATGTGATGACCTCCTTCCAACTGCTCTACCAAGAGAGGGAGGACGCACCCAGTCGTCGGGAGGCCAGAGACGGAGGGCCCAAATACAAAGATGCAATGACAAGACACACCTTCTACCTGGCACTAGAGCACCAAGGTGCTGCTAAGGGAATAAGCCTTGTCACCTCCCACCGCCAGCCTGCCTTCATGGGGTTCTGGCTTTACCAGCACAACCTCCATTGCTCAGAAGGGAAATCAGCATCTAGAAGAGGGCACGAGTCATCTGGCTTCCTGGGATGGGGCTCCCTCATTTGGGAAGCCCTGTGAATCCTTCCCCTGTCTTCTCGGGAACATTCTGTTTTCGCCTGAGCCCTAGGACCACGCAATATCACTGCAGGCAGAATTTTCCTAGCAACCACAGAATCCAAGATTACATCATCCCCTGCATGGCAGCTGAGTTGGTTACCTAACAGATGCCGACTTTTCCTGAGTGCTGCTTGCCCAGCTTGCTAATCAGAAGGGGGCTGGCAGAAGTCTGTGAAAGGGGAGTTGTCAGCAGAAGATGCCTTAGTGGCAGTGATGGTGGCAGCCCGCTCGCTCCTCTCCCTGCCTGCCTCGTGGGCTTTCGCTCAGGGACCTTGGGCCTCTTAGTGAGCTGCAGGTGCAAAAGTAGCACGGGATGCCCCAGGAGGGAATGGGGCGTCTATAGAGGGAATGGGCCATTAGCTCCTCGGAGGAGCCCAGACCTAGGGACCAGGACTCCTGACTCCACAGCCTTCCCAGTGTGTGTGCCTGTCCTGTGCTCTGAGGGTGGGAAGGAAGTAATCTTCTCCAGGTCACACAGGGACTCTGATGGCTATTTAACAAGACAATTGAAGTAAAGGATTTGCAAGAGTCCTACCCTTCCCACACTGCCAGCTGCCACCCTCTTCCCTGGCGGCATTTATAGAGCCTCCCACTGTGCTGCTGGAGCCCTGCAGAGAGGAAAAGGCCTGCAGAGCTGCGGCCTGTCTGTGCTCTCTTCTGTTCCTTAAGGATGTTTTCCAGGCTCTACCACAAGGATCTGCTTTCCTTTGGGACCAAAAAGAAGGCAGGCTCTCAGTTCTTCCAGAGCATTCTCTGATCTATCCTCGTCACTGGTCGGCCAGGTATTTGTCATTCAATAAGGTCTGGCCATGAACCTGACAGGCTTCTAGCTGAGGACACTGGTCCCCCTTTCCTCTTCTCTATGAAATTTGGGCCAGTAAGCGAATAGGGAGGGTGAGCTGTTACATTATGATCATGACTCCATCCCTCAGAGCTGGAGTTTTAGAGCCAGGAGGGACCTCAGAGGTCGAGTGCTACAGTCTTTCCTTTGAAGGCCAGCATATGGCAGCTCCCTCAGGTATTCTCACTGTCTAGATGTACTGCAAAGAAGGCAGCAGGCCAGCCCACTACCTCCAGGCTGCCAGCTGGGTTTCCTATCCTGTTTTACAGATGAAGCTCTGTCTTCCCTCTTGGCACCTCTGCTGACACTGTCTGAACTTGAGCTCAGAACTTCTATTTGTCCCTTCCCACTAGATGCAGGTGAGCGTAGGAGGGGAGAGGTTGATCTGTCTCTCCTGTTCCACACTCTAACATATTAAAAGATAAGGATAGCCAAAACTCGATGACAGTGTCAGAAGAAAAGAGAACTACAGATGAGTATCTCAAATGAATATAGATGCAAACATGCCCAACAAAATGCTAGCAAACTGAATACAACAACATATAAAAAGGATTCTATACCCTGACCAGGTGAGATTTATCCCAGGAATGCAAGGTTGGTTTAACATCTGAAAATCAATGACTGTAAAACACTGTATCAATAGAATAAAGGACAAAAACCATACAGGAAAAGCAGCTGATGAAATCCAACATAATAAAACCACTCAAGGCTGGGTGTGGTGGCTCATGCCTGTAATCCCAGCACTTTGGGAGGCAGAGGTGGGTGGATCACCTGAGGTCGAGAGTTTGAGACCAGCCTGACCAACATGGTGAAACCCCATCTCTACTAAAAATACAAAATTAGCCAGGCATGGTGGCGCATGCCTATAATCCCAGCTACTCAGGAAGGCTGAGGCAGGAGAATTGCTTGAACCTGGGAGGCGGAGGTTGCAGTGAGAGGAGATCACGCCATTGTACTCCAGTCTGGGCAACAAGAGCGAAACTCTGTCTGAAAAAACAAAACAAAACAAAACAAAACAAAAAACCACTCAACAAACTAGAATAGAAGAGAATATCTTCAATCTGATAAAGGTCATCTATGAAAATCCCACAGCTCTTATCATATTTGTGGTGAAAGCCCTCCCCTACCAAGATTATGAACAAGAAAAGGATGTCCGCTTTCACTGTTCTTATTCAATATTGTCTTGAAGGTTCATTCTAGGTTAGGAAAGCTAAGAAAAAAAGATAAAAGCCATCCAGATTGGAAAGGAAAAAGTAAAACTATCTCTATTTGTAGATGACATGATCTTATATATAGAAAATCATAAGGAATCCACTAAAAAAATTTTTTTTTTTTTGAGACAGGGTCTCACTCTGTCACCCAGGCCAGAGTACAGTGGCATAATCTTGGCTCACTGCAATCTCCGCCTCCCAGGCTCAAGAAATCCTCCCACTTCAACCTCCTGAGTAGCTGGGACTATAAGCGCATGCCACCACATCTGGCTAATTTTTATATTTTTTGTAGAGATGGGGTTCTGCCATGTTGTCCAGGTTGGTCTCGAGTTCCTGAGCTCAAGTGATCCACCCACCTTGGCCTCCCAAAGTGCTGGGATTACAGGCTTGAGCCACTGCACCTGGCCCACTAAAAAACTATTAGAACTAATAAACAAGTTAAAGGTATAGGATACAAGGTCAATCTACAAAAATCAATTGTATTTTTATACACTAGCAATGAACAATCTGAAAGTAAAATTAAGAAAATGATTCCACTTATAATTGCATTAATAATAATAAAACAGGAACAAATTTAACAAAGTGCAAATTTTTGTGCTTTGAACAGTACACAACATTACTGAATAAAATTCAATACATGATCCCTATCAAAATCCCTTTCTTGGGGAGTTTTTAAAAACTGCCTTTTTTGTAGAAATTGACAAATTGATCCTAACATTCATATGGAAAGGCAAGGGACCCAGAATATCCAACACCACCTTGAAAAAGAAGAACAAGTTGACTCACACTTTCCGATTTCAAAACTTACTACAAAGGCAACGTCAATGAGACTGGGTGGTACTGGCATAAGGACAGACATAGA